TCAATGCCCCCATAGCCCTTCTGAGAAAAGCCCCTTTGTTGATCAGGGCTATCACCCGGCGTTACGCTGGCGAAACAAGCCGACGTACGAATCACACCCCATTGGTCAGGACTGACTTTAGGTGCCTATCCAGGGCCTTCTGAAGACAGCCAGGGGTCTAGTAATCCCCCTCATGTATGCGGGAAGGAAAAATTGAACACTTGGGCCCCCCCGACACTTATTGTGTTGTCTTTTTTCATGTACCCGACCCCCCCCCTGCTTTTCTTGGGGAAATACATGGCCCCCCCCGCAAACGGGGCATCACATAGCTTTTTTTTCCGCATAACATTATTTTTACGCAAATTTTTGCCGCGCATACGATTAAAAACCCGTTTACCGATTTTCGTCCGAACCGTCCAATGGCCCTCACAGGGCCGGCCGTCCCATTGTTTACCACCCGCCTCCGCGGTAACACCAAGCAAAACACTCGGAAATTCGTATTAAAAAGGTTTCGGTGCTGTTTTGGAAAAAATGCCAGGGCCCCAAAAAAGCTTCATCAACCCGTGGTAAAAGGGTGAGAATTAGTATGGAAATTAAGAAAGATTTTGAAGGGTTTGGGGCTAACCTGAGAAGCCAATGCCATTTGTGGAATCCATTGTCCCCTACTTCAAAGATTAAGGAAATGTGTGCACAGGGGTTAAACTGCAAACCTTATAGATGAAAATCCCCTGAAACAGCTGTTGCAAGCCGTGCTGGTGACTATTTCAATGACAATGTTATGGCCCATTTTAGGAAAGTCTTGAAGGAACGGAGGTACAGAGCTCTATGGACAGATTTGTTGTGCGACAGAGGTCCAGTGACTCTCAAGCTGGTCCTAGTGGCATTAAAAAAGAAGGGAATAACCCCGAAAAGGACTTGCTACCTCAAGTCCAAATGGAAAGGGGATTCCCCTTCAAACAGTAAGAAGATAATGCTCTCCCCCCTCCCCCATCCCACAATCATCACCAGATCTTCAATAAAGTAAGTGCATGTAATTGTGCATGCCTTTTTCAGTTTGTGTGAAATAAAATTAACATTTCATTGGGTAAAAAAAAATTTTTTTTCATACTTTTGGGCGTCTTGCACGGTTTAAATTTTATTTCCTTTAAATTTCTTATGGGGAAAATTCATTCGCATAAACGATTATTTCGCATAACGATGAGCCCTCTTGCACGGATTAAAATCGTTAACCGGGGTCCACTGTATTGCATCTCCTGCCGAGTTTTTTTGCGTTCATAGGGAGTGTTTTTTCGTGTGCAGGTTTGGTACCAATCCCTCCGGGACCTTCCAAGTGTACATTATCATGCATCCTCTCACCCTGCATTTGAGGAATACAGATCAAGGACCTTCAACTGTTCCCAGTAGTTTAGGTGCCTTATCTCGCTTATGTGTGCCGTGAAAGTTCTCCAGGTCTGCAATGTCGCCAGCCCTGAAAAGGGCCGTTAGTGTACAGCAGTATTCCAGCCTAGACAGCACAAGCGATTTGAAGAGAATCTCATGGGCTTGTGGTCCCAGTTTTTGAAAGGTTCTAAATTATCCACCCTATCATTTCTTAGCGGATGAGGTCAATACGTTGTTGTGGTCTTTGAAGGCAAGATCCTCTGACATTATCACTCCCAGGTCCTTCACATTACTTTTCTGCTCTATTGTATAGTTAAAATTTGTGGTATACCCTAACACATTTTTAATATCTTCAAGTTTTCCATATCTGAGTAGTTGAAATTTTTCTCCTTGTTGAACTTCATTTGTTTGAGCGCCCATTTGAAGTTTTGGGTTTGATGTCTTCGATGGGGGTCCCCTGCCATGGTGATCTGGGTGTTATCGACAAAGGAAGACAAAAGACAATGCTTTCATCTCTGACTATGTCAAAATGAGAATGAGGAATAGAATGGGAGCGAGTACCGTGCCTTGTGGAACAGAGCTTTTACAATGGCTGCCTAGGACTTTACTCTGTTTACTCTTTGTGTTCTATTTGTCATGAAGTTGTAGATCCATCTACCAACTTTTCCCATTATTCTTTTATCAAGCATTTTGTGTGCTATTGCACCATGGTCACACTTGTTGAATGCTTTTGCAAAGTCTGTGTATACTACATCTGTATTTTGTTTATCCTCTACAGCATCCAGGACTTTGTCACAGTGGTCCAGTAACTGGGACAGGCAGGAGCGACCTGCTCTAAACCCTTGTTGCCCTGGGTTGTGTAATTGATGGGTATCTAGGTGGTTGGCTATCTTGCTTCTTAGAACCCTC